TATTGCAAAGGTGTGCCCAATTTCTCACCTCACGCTCCCTTCTCGGAAGAGATCTCTACTCTAACTGGACTTCTGCAGGGTGGAAGGGTCACATGACCTTACAGATGTTACAGGACACCTGGGTGGGGGCTTGATTTTTTTTTGTTAAGAAAATGAATTTATTCCTTTATTTGAAGTATTTTTAAATTTATACAAACTTCTTTTTTCCCCTACATGTGTATTAGAGACCTTCCAGGAAGTTTAAAAATGTGCCCACAGCCATTCTTATTTTTAAATTATAAGAAAATGTCATCACTGAATTAAAAACAAATTTTGTGTCATCTCTATGACTCTTCCCAGTCTTAGGATGGATCAAGAATTGCTTTTATACAAAGAATGCTATGGTCAATTTCTTTATATCTACACAAAAAAATAAAATGGTAGAATTCCTTAGTTTCAAGAGTACAGTAAGTTTATGTGAAGATGGCTTAACAGCTTGGCCTATAATCCAGGAGAAGGGAAAACACTTAAATGAGCTTTCATTTATTCAAAAGAAATCTGATAACAGTTTTGTGTTAATGGTTCTTAAGAAGTACTAACTTGATGAAAGATTTGAAAGCTCTTAAAAATACCTGATATCTGCACACCTGTCTTCTCTGACGCAGTGGTGAACAGTTAAGCCACCACCGCTCACATCCAAGGACACTGTTTAAGGCACTTTACAAACAAGATGTATTCAAAGTTCACAGGCTGCATCAGCCGATGGAAGTGTATCCACGCAGCTGTGAGCAGCTACCACACAGCGGTCCCTGCTCATCCGAGCAACTGTTGTTTCTGCCTGGGCTTCAGCTGAGCATGTTGTTTTCTTCTCTTTTTTTTTCTTTGTTGCTGATAGTAAGTAAATAGACCACGGTGTTTAAAATGATCATTTTATAGATGTAGCTGCCCCGTCGGGGCACAGCGCGGGCAAAGCCTGCCTGACCAATACCCCTGCTCTTGGTGTGCTTTCACAGATGAACGCTAAGCTTCCTACTTCATTACAGTGTTGTGGAGCTGGGATCGCTCTGATTTATCATCTTCTTTCCCCATCCTCGTTTACTCTAGTATTGTACAGAAACATGGCTTGACTTAAGCCAACATATTAAAAATATGATTTCATAAAAATATTACGACTATTCTCAAGGCAGAAGTGATCCTCCCTTGACAGAAGAGTTTACCAGAGTGTTTACATAATGAGCCCTCCTACTGCCTCAGAGGTAAACACCTGGATGTTCCAAATATGACAGGTGCCCACAGTTTTCAGAAAGTCATCTACCTATAAAAGGTGACAGACACGTTTGGCTCAACCAAAGGCGAAGGCAAATCTTCCAGTTGATTTTGACTCGAGTTCTTGTGTTAAACATGAAGTTTAGTTGACTACCACTTAAACAGCCCTTTGTATTCATCTGTAATTACCAGACCCTGGTAATTTAAAGTAGAATATATTAAAAATCTCGAAGCTGATAACAACAAACTGTTTGAAAGGTTTGGTAAAACTGGAAGACACCTCAAAACTATGAACTCACAGAGTTGCATAAGAGGCTGTTTAAGCAGTGCTTTGTCAAAGCCATTTACTTCATCAAGTGACTGCAGACAGATGAGAAACCTTACAATAACAGAGAATTTTTTTAAAATACACTTGATAAGAATCCACAAGTCACTGACAGGGCAAGAAATGCAAGAGTGCCAAAAGGAAAAAAAATATTTTGGTTATGTTACTCTTTCTCTCCAAACCAGAGTGGAGTTAAACTTACTATATGGTTTTGGTGTCTTGATATCAAAAGTTGTAGGATCTCAGCTTTCATTCCCTTCTATCAGAACACATCTCTAGACTACTGTTACGTAGTTTGTTTTTTTTTTTTTTGGTAGAAACTGACAGAGGGGATCTGTCTGTGAGATAAAGTATATATAAGACATAAAAATATATTGTTCAGTTTGTAGATGCACTAAACAGTAGCATGGATATGAAATGCTTCAGCAGCTGTAACAGTATACAAATACACACATGTATTTATAACAAAGATCAAGGTTAGATAAAAATCGGGCAACTCTCACTTCAAGTAACTTCAACTTCAAACTTCAAACTTTATGATGAATTTCTGTAGCTTTAGTTATTCAACATGCAAGAGCATTCTTAACTGTGAATAATACGACAAGCAGAAGCATTAGAACTGTTCTAGAAAAGGTAGTTAAGGTGTAAAAATATATATATAATAAGGTACAGATCTCTGTCCTGTTATCATGCTGAATTTTTATCTGAATTTGCTTCTTAAAGAAGAAATGGATATATTTTTTAGGTTTCAACATACATATTAACAGAAGTCAGATTAGCCTGGGACGGAGCTGTGCTAGCGACCATGTCCCACTCCATGTTACTCATGCGTCTGCTCATCTTCCCTGCTGTGCAGGTGACCCTCAGCATGCAGAAAAGTAACGAGGTTCTGCCCCTCCTACTCTACCTAAGTTTGCTCAGCTGACTCCTTGCCCTCGACAGTGGCTGCAGTGCGATGAACTCATCACTGAGAGCGACTGTGTTGGAGTACATCTACAAGTGGACAGAAAAGGGACGGGACACACAACAAGTCAGTGAGCTTGTTCATCACCCAAGAGGCAGACACAGGACGAGCTTTGTAAAGACATCGGTTGCTACAACAGTCGGAAATATCATACATGGTACACACGTGACCGACACCTGTTGAGTTACGGCTTTGCCATCAAAAGAACGTGAATTCTTCACTCTTAACACCACGTTGTTATTCTGGTGAAAAACAAAGCCCAGAATAACGCTGATCATGATTTTTCTCGCTACTTTTGGTGAACAAAACGAAGTAGCCGATAACTTTCTATTTCCCCATCGTTTGAAATCAGAGGTGGTGATGTAGTGCTGAAATAATAACGATTATAGCAAAGAGATAATGCCACGCGTGGGATTCGAATGACCGTATACTGTCTCAGTAGAAATAAAACAGCACGTTAGAAGACTCCTGAGTGGAGAGTTCCCGCCTGGAGAAGATGGCACTAAAACATCTAGTCACATCATTTAAAATGAATTTGGTGAGGCACACGCAAATGATTGACTTATTGTACATTTCATTTTGAATCAATTTTAACCTATGGTAAAAGAACCAAAATATATATAACAGCACTTTTAACGTTCTTCTTGACTAAGGATTCACCTTAAGGCCCCAAACATTTCCTATGTAATTCTTTAAAAATAGGCTATAGAAAAGATAAGAAGAAGTAACATCATTTTTTATATCATTAAGAAATATACCATACATTTGTAAATGCCTAATGCAGAGTTTCTAAGAATAAACATAAATAAACCTGATTAGTTACTCTTATAAAAAATTAAGTTTTTTAAGGGAAGTTATTCATATATTTTGTGAAATATAGCTTTTCACAGACCAAGAGGGGGAGATAAACGAGCTCTCCATAAAGGACTAGAAAAAGTACGAGAGGCAACGTACTAAAAACAGTACTCTTACTGTAAATATTTCTCTCTGAAGATTAGGAATAATAAGCCTTTCTGATATACACAATGTACTGCCCAGTGGAAGTCTGTATGAGTACGTGCTGCAGAGGCATACAGCGTGATCAGATTATGTAAATTTTCCAACCCATTTGGAGACCATATCACAGAGCAACATCCTCCTCCTCATGGTAATTGTTTTACCGAGGACCTACAATGTACAGGCTCTGTGTTGGGTACTTTATATTCTGTATCTCTAACAATCATGTATGGTAGGAATTATTACTCTGATTTTACAGAGGAGGAAACTGAGGCATAGAGAAATGACTTACCAAGGACATACATCTCATGAATGGTAAAAACAGTACTGAATTCAAGTCTGTCAGGCTTCAAAGGCTATGCTGCCTTGGTGGTGTTAGAACACGTATTTGCTAGGATGGAGTTATGAAAGCAAATATGTGCTGAAGAAACGCTGACAGTATCAACTGAAATGAAAACTAATGCACCATTTAGGGAGCCTAACTGAAACTACAAAACAGCGTGCAATTATCCTATTTGCAGCATGAATGTACAACTGAATTTCCAAAATTTAAACAAAATTTGCTCGGCAGGTAGCACACAGTATGCTGAAAAAAATCTCAGCCTAGGCAGAACTAAGTGATCAGAAAACTCAGCCTTTACCAGGGTGTACAGCTGATTAGAATATATTCTTGAGAGTACATACTCAATGCTGTGGTACAGTTAATAGAACAAATTTAGATTTTTTTTTCTAGCTCATATAAAGTAAAATTCACAAAAAGGGTACACTCAGCTAAACAGCTAGCATTTCTTGCGTACCTACTATGGGAACATTCTTTCATTTATCCTCATTACCATGGTAACAAAATAGTTATTTCTAACGTATTTTTACTAATGAGAAAACTGAGACCCAGAGTCACAGAGTTAAAGTGGCAGAGATCTGTCAGGCCCCAAAGACCAAATTCTTTTAAGCACTATGCAACATATTGCTAAATATTTGCTGTACTTTAATATTTATTAATAAACACTTAGAGAACATATTTTATAAAAATCCACTCTGTAAAAATTATTTAAGTTAAAGACCTTATACTCTTCTGTTGAAAATAATATAAATTGAAAAATATTACTCAAATTCCAATGTTTTCAAATACACAGATAACCCAATTATATATATCTGATGGAATGCTGTGATAAAATTATCTAAAACATATTTATTATTATCTGGACATAATCTGATAGTTTTATATTTAAAAATCTGGAATTTTATTAAGAACAAGATGTTTTCAAAATTAAAATTTATCAGTAGTCATAAAATTAATAGAAACAGTAAGAAAACAACTTAAAATATCACATTTAACAATGTTTATATGGCAGAATATTTGACACAGGAACAGATACGTTGATATTTTCTGATATAAGCACATTATAATGACAGCTATTCATTGTGAAAGGCTCTGAATTTAAAAAGGAATTGTATATGAAAAGGGGTTACCTGTGCCTTTTCAGTACTTGTAGGATGGAGCTGTCGTTCAAATACTTTCTTTACAATATCAAGAAATAGACATGTAACAACCATGACGATTATGCCAAACCAAGCAGAACCACTTGATAGGAGCTGAATAAATACAAAGAACATATTCTGGGACCCCAAAAATGGCCTGCAAAGAAAAAAATGTGGGCTTGGTCAAAGTGGAAAATGAAAGACTTAAACCAAGACATCATGTAAACCCACAATATTTGAAAGAAATAATTATAAGCATATCCCATGAAAATGTTAAAAATTTGAAATCAATATAATTAACTGAATAACTAATGAAACAATATGGACTTTGTTAAAAATATAATCTGATTAATTACTTTCAATGACAACCATAGTCTTTATTATCAGGAAAGTGTCAGGCAGTTGACTAGGTAAGTCTATCTTAGTGGTAGGACGTCAATAGGAATGTGTAGTAATACAATACTACAGTAACACAGTAATGTAGTAATACAGACTTAAGAGACTGAGAAAAGCCAGAAAAAATATGTAACAAGGTATTTTCTGCTGAGCAACTTAAAGACTGATAATCCAAATCTTAGACTGAAAACTCTACTCAGAGGCTCTTCTCAAAAAACATCTTTTAAAATGAATGCAATCACAAATACTAGTTCTACACATTAGTAGTTTGGAGCCCTGGTGGTGCAGTGGTTAAGAGCCTAGCTGTTAACCGAAAGGTCAGCAGTTCGAATCTACCAGCTGCTCCTATAGTTCTACTCTGTCCTATAGGGTCGCTATGAGTTGGAATTGACTTGACGGCAATGGGTTGGGTTGGGTTTGGTATGAGGAGGGGACCTAGGTGTTGGGGGTCAAACAGCAGTGGGTTTACAGTAGTGGTTAATGTCTAGAATCTTTTGTGTGTGTTTTTGTATACAACTTTTCAAAACAATACAGGAAAATGCAGAAAGAAATGGAGAAACAAAGAGGATTCAAAGCAAATAAGTCGAATGGCATTCATGAGCGTTCTTTTATGATCCTAAATGGAAGTTAATGTTCAGCCAATCTAGTTTTTTTTTTTGCCTAACTTCAAGTTTTCTGCTTGATATAAGGATCAAATGCACAGCAAGCAAATGTCATATAAACTGTACAAAGTAGAGACTTCACTTGTCCATCACTAAAGAAGCTTAGGACAGGCATTGATTTTAATCTACCGGGGTAGCTGTGGATCTGGTTCTATCAACAAAGATGAAGCAAACTACCTTTGAGAAAGAAGTCCGCTCATACATCAACGTTCGATGGTTCTGTGTGACTTATTACACACATTAGGAAATCATTTAGAAGTGATATGTTAGTGTAGAGAACATTGACTGTGGCGTAAGATAACCTGGGGTTTAAATCCTGATTTTGCTACCCTTTTTCTTCTTCTTCTTTTTTAACTTTTGTGACCTTGGGGCTCTATTTCCACAAGGAAAAAATGGAGATAATAAGATTATTGTCATAAATAAATGTAACAGCTTATGTAAAACACCTCAAATGTAGTAAGTATTCAGTAAGTTAGTTCCTTTCTCCTTATCAGTAAGATCAGTTGAAAGAAGTGAATTTATTAATAGAATAGGGTCTCAAAACTATTCTGAGCACATTTTATTTATAATAATAATCTATCACAATATGTTTTTATTATCCTTAAATCAATATAATTAAAACACAAAATAGTCACTCACCAAAGAATCCCTCCATAAAACAAGGAAAACACAAAATAAAATATAATAGAGCCCCAGGTTACAAGGTGATTGATCCAGGTCCAGAAATGAGTTTCCAAAGCCATCTAAAAAGAGAAACATTAAAAAATCCTTAGAAATAGAAAGCAATGACTTTAACCTTTTAGATAAAACTCCAGAATGAAATGTATTAATTATAAGGGATTTAGAGTGTGATGGCAGAGTACCTCAGAAAATAAACTTTATGAAAGTGTCCTCATATGAGATTGAATAATATCAAGCTTATAGTATCTCCCTTCTGTGAGGCAGAAGCATTGAAATTTCAAGTGTTTATTCTCAACTCCATGGCCTAAAACAAGTTGCGCTGTCTTGCACTATATATAGAGAAATAAACCTTGATTTGGCCATAAAAATCAGCTGAGGCTTTCCAAACTAATGAACTTACCAAAGGAATTATTTAACAAAAATGAATTATTAAAATAGCAATCAGTGAAATTATTTATTACTGGAAAAGGGAAAAAATACCTATCTATGGCCAAAGAAGTGAAGAAAACTTACTACTAATGCAAACACAAAATTCGCCTGTATTTCTGATTTCAGTACCATACCTTCACTGTGACTGTGATCACCATGACGGTGAAGACCAGGGTGCCAAACGTCCAGTTTCCAAACATCTAAACAGAGAGAACCAACTATCATTGCATTACATGTCAATACATTAAATCAGGCACGAGGCAAAATGTCATTTCATTTCTCTATAAAAATCACTTGCATTTATTTAAGCTAGTTACATTTGAAACCTGTGACTATTTTAGTAAAGTTTAGAGTATATCAGAAGCATTATGATTATGATTGCTATTGTGCACAACGATGCTCTGGATAATATCAGCCTGGAAACCCAACGGTGGGTTTAGACTGTGTGACGCTGACTCTGCAAGCGTGTGTTAGAACGACATAGCAGTTAGTGATTGCTTTACTCCTGTCATACAGTAAAATTTGTAACAAAATCCTATCCGATTGGAACTATTTTCTGAAACCACTGCAACCGAGAGTTACAGCAATTCACTTGCCATTGTATTTCTGGACACAGTATAAGCGGAGCAAGAAATCACACACAAAACTAACACCTGAAAGATAATGGCTGGTGGAATCGCTCACCAAAGGAGCCCATATACACATGCAGCTAATACCAGCCAGAAGGTATTTCACTGGGCTTTAAAGCCAAAACTTACTAAAGTTTATCAAAAATGTAGAATCCCAAAAGAATGTCAGGATTTTATTTTCACAGACAAGAACACAATCAAAAACTTGTATAAATTTCTTTTCAAAGTAGTCACAGTTTTTAACATTGGTTTAAAAAATTATTTAAAGGGCTTTTTTTTTAAATTACAGAATTATTTGTAAAAATTAGTGTATACTTGACAAATTACTTAACCCCTTTATCTCATCTTCTTCATCTGCAAAATAGAGATAAACCTCAAGGTTTATATATGAAAAGCACAGGGTGTCTGATATCTCATAAGCAATCAGTCACTAACAGTTATGATCAATGAACACCATCTAAGATGCATCTATTGGTCCCATAACCTTCAGAGCAAAGGAGAATGAAGAAATCCAAAGACGCAAGGAAAATATTAGTCCAAAGGGCTAAAGGACCACATGAACCACAGCCTCCAGAAGCCTGAGCCCAGAGGAACTAGATGGTGCCCGGCTACCATCATCAACTGTGCCGACAGGGATCACAATAGAGGGTCCCGGACAGAGCGGGAGAAAAATACAGAACAAAATTCAGATTCACAAAAGGCCAGACTTACTGGTCTGACAGAGACTGGGGAGCCCCCGAAACTATGGTCCCCGGACATTCTGCTAACTCAAAACTGAAGCCATTCCCAAAGCCCACCTTTCAGCCAAAGATTAGACAGGCCTATAAAACCAACAATAACACACGTGAGGAATGTGCTTCTTAGTTCAGGCAAGTCTACGAGACCAGATGGGCAACACCTGCCCAAAAGCAAAGACGAGAAGGCAGGAAGGGACAGGAAAACTGGATGAGTGGACACAGGGAACCCAGGGTGGAAAGAGGGAGACTGCTGACACATTGTGGGGATTACAACCAATGCCACAAAACAATCTGTATATAAATTTTTGGAATGAGAAACTAGTTTGTGCTATAAACTTTCACCTACAACACATTAAAATTAAAAAAAAGAAAAATCAATGAACGTTACTTTACTCGAGGGTATTTATGTTAAGAGGAAAAGAAAGTTTATACCTCTGAAGAGGGGAAAAAAAGGAAACGTCATACTGCTTATTTTCCTGCTTTTATCACCTCTAAAAATGACTCAGAAACACTGAAAACCATTGGGTCTGTCTGAGCTGGAAGAGCCCAGCTCTAGAGGGCGATCAGTCTCCTCCTTCCGGGCTATGGGGACAGTACTTTGCTGCAGCCGGGGGCCTGGGCGTCTAACAGCACACACTGCCTATCACTCCCTAGCTGGTTCTGCTGGGCCCCGACTGGAAGCTACTTACGCAGAGGCGGATTCAAGGTTTCCTCCTGCATAGTGTGTACTTAATAAACATTCTTCATTGGTGCTTACCCCCCCAATTATTTAGCTTTTTATTTATTTTTAAATGATTTCATGGAAGTCTGTTTTTCTAGATATGTAATTCTTGGGGAACTTAAAAAAAAATTAAAGTTACATCAAGATCTCTAACAAATATTTTATAAATAATTTTACCTTTTACCAGTGCAAAATTCTATTAATAAAAAAGAAATGATTGTACTCTTCTTTAATGATTAATTTGCTTAAAAACTTGTAGTATGAGAGTAAAAATCTGCAACTATCAAACTTAGTTATAAACTGTAGTATTCTAAGAAGCCCTGTTTAAAAACACCAAGTCAAAAAACATTGATCCTGTCAGATTACAGAAACAATTTAAAGTTTTTATTAAGCCCATTTTTAACTTAAATAAAATGAAGAGATTCACCAAATTACTAATCTGTGGCTTCCTGACAAATGTTTATGGTAAGAAGATACTCCTGTATTGTAAGACAAGTCCCTGTTTTCAACTAACAGTTATCTTTCAAATACTGTAACTCTTTTAAGCCTGCATAGGCAAATCATACCATTTTATATTGAGTTTAACTCTCCTGCTATCTAGAAGAAACACAGAGTTAAAAATTAATAGTTCAATCCTTTTTGGCCCCAGTTGCAAATCTTCTATCTCTGCGTCCCCAAACATATTTTGCAACATGTAAGTGCTGCCAATGGGAAGGGGAACTCCAGGTGACAAGCACGAAGGAGCAGCAGTGAAGGAGTGTCCTCTGGGGTGCTCTGAGGGCAAAGATCTCCCCGCAGGGCAGCAGTTTTAGACACACTCAGATACGTCATACACACTCCCCCCCAATCTACTGAAAAAGGTTTCAGAGGAATACATGAAGAATGAATCCTTCTTTCCTAAGTTAAAGAGAAATTAAGACTAAGAGCTGAATACTCAAAAATATTTGTTGAAAATTAGTTAACACCTATAATACTCATGATACTGCCAGGCCCTTATAAAAAAAAAAAAAAAACACACTGGGATAGAATCTGAACATGCCCTGAATGTCCCTTTCCAACCTGAATCCCAAATGACTGCCAGCTCCTCACATCACTTGTTCACATTAACCTGCTCTTTACCTCTGGCCACACCTCCTCCAAGGGCTTCCCTCTAATAACTTTTTCTGCTCCAGGCCCTCAACTGTTTGCAGATTCTTGGGCATACAACGACAAAGTCTCGAAAACAGAAAGCATTCAACACATCCAGTGCTGAACAATGAGATGTGGACTAGACGTCTAGATTTTCAGCTTTGGGAGGAGACGTGAGGGAGCTGGAGCTAAAGAAGAGGGGTCTGTGGGCTCAACCGTGAAGAACGAACAGGCAGATGGTGGAGAGAGGCTCTGGGAAAGAGGCAAGAGCGCTCTAGAGGGGAACCACAGTGATGGCCTGGAACTGGAACCAAGCACAGCACGCTCTTGGAGTCAGCAAGGAGACTTACAGTCAGAGTTTTCAGGAGAAGTAGATCAGGTGGGATTGGGTAGGATGAGGTCTTTGATATAGTAGTGATTTGATAGTAAAAACAGTAATACTACTAAGACAGAGTAATTCTGTATGCTAGGCACTATACTTGGTGCTTTACACGTTCAACGTCTTTTAACTCACAGCAAACCTAGGGATGATGCTCCTTATTTTGCAGGTGAGGGGACTGAGGCTTAAAGAGGTTAAACAACTCATCTCAGGTCACTCAGATGATAAATACAGGTGCCTGCATGTGAATCCAATTCTGACTAATCCAGTGTCTGCTGCTTTTCCACAATGCCTGGTATTGGTGGTAGGCGTTTAACTCTACTGGTAGATTAATTTCTAGTGGTATATTAATATTAACTAATTGGTGGTTTAAATCTAGTGGTAAATTAATTTCTGAGTGGTAGAACTGGTAGACTTTACTAAATGTGGAAAGAAGTTAATGATTTAAGAAAAAAAAAACAACGCTTAAGAATTAAACAGGTGGTAACCAACAATAATTTACCATTCATTAAAGTTTTATTTTTTTGTATGAAGCACGTTCAAGATTTGATTTTTGAAAAAGTCAGTAAAAAACAGAAACAAATTATCAAATTAAGGGAATACTTAAATTATGATATGCAACAGTATATTACATTGTCATGAAAAAATATTTCTGAACATTTTTAGTAATATACACGATCATTTAAGCTATAATGTTAAGAATAAAAGGGAATAAAAATTATGAAGTTAATAAAAACAGCAAAATACAAAAAAGAATGGAAGGATATATGTTAAAACGATGACATAATTCTATCTGGGTAGAGGGACAACCGGTGATTTATTCACTTGATAGTTTTTCCTGTATATTCTAAATTTACCACAATGGGCACATATTACTTCTAAAATCATGAAACAGTAATAACTAGCAAACAAAGATCTCTTTAGTTTAATTTCCTTCTTCTAAACCGTGCCCCGCCCCCACCATTCTGCCCCGTTTCACCCCAGTGTTTCAGGTGGGAGTGGGCCCACTCCCTCGTATCCTTATCTGTTTGATGCTCCTTGCACAGGTGGCAATTTTGTACAGAAAGGCTTATTTCTCAGAGGAATTTAGGGTCGTGATTAAGCTCACAGGCTTGAAAGTCACACAGATCTGGGTTTGAGTTCTACTCTTGTAATTTACTTCCTGTGTGACCTTAGGCAAGTTTCTTAACCTCTCCGGTGTTAATTTTCCAACATGCAAAACGGTAATAAATGATATTTTCCTCACACTGGGTGGTTAGGATGATTTAATCAGCTGATGCAGGTAATACACCTGGTACAGAGGCAAACTCAATAAGAGGCAGTTATTATTTGGGAAGTGCTGTAGTCATTATGCCACACAAATTAGATTCATGTTTTTGCCCAAATCAGGCCAAGTATGTCCTCAAAAGTGATCTGGCAATAATAGTTACATTTCCACTCTACATCCTAAAGGGATCTGCGTGGATAAGGCCCTTCTACAACCGAAACCCACTTCCTTCTTTGCTCTTGCACAGTTTGTTATTAGTTTACTTGATTGTTTTCTGTATCCCTCATAAGACTCAGAGCTCCATGACCAAGTGTCTTAGTTACCCTTACAGACCCAGAGCCTAGTATAAAAAAACAACCATTGCTGTCGAGTTGATTCCGACTCACAGCGACCCTACAGGACAGAATAGAACTGTCGGCCTTTTGGTTAGCAGCTGAGCTCTTAACCTCTACGTCACCAGGGTTCCCAAGTCTAGTATAGTACACAGGAACGGCTGGCCCTCAGTACACGTTTGTTGAACAGATAAAGCTTTATATTCTTCCACTGCCAAGACTTGAATCTGTGTCCCCAAACATTTGGCACCACTTAAGTACTGCTGATGGAAAAGGTAAACTAAAGGAGCCAAGCAGTTCCTGTCCACCACAGTACCATTGCTGTCACTTCCTTCCCTCTAACCCATCCAGCTAAGCCCGGAAAGAGAGTCTGGCCAGAAGCACGCCGGTTACGATAGCGTGTAACAACCAATGTACTGTGTGGCACTCTTTCCTAGTTTCACCTTTCACACAAGTGGCCACACTAAACAGTAACTTAGACATCCTTACAACCCTAGTGTGCACTGAAGTATGCTAGCCCTTCCTAATTAAAAAACAAGAATTCATGCAATTAAAACAAACACTAAATCCTCATCTCTCATCTGAAAAATGGGGGTAGCAGTACCTGTCTAACAGGATTATTGCAAGGATTAATGAATATTATTGTAAAGCACTGAGCGCAATACCAAACCAAAAGACCAAACCCATTGCTGTCTAGTTGATTCCGACTCACAGCAACCCTGTAGGACAGGGTAGAACTGCCCCATAGGGTTTCCTAGGAGTGGCTGGTGGATTTGAACTGCCAACCTTTTGGTTAGCAGCTGAACTCTTAACCACTGCACCACCAGGGCTCTAAGCACTAAATTAGCAGTTTGAAACTACCAGTGGCTCTGTGGGAGAACGATGTGGCAGTCTGCTTCTGTAGAGATTTACAGCCTTGGAAACCCTCTGGGATTGTCATGAGCTGGAACGGACTGGACGGCAGTGGGTATTTGGTTTTACTATTAAAACAGGATCCTGGGCTGAACAGCACGCAGGGGCATGGGCATATCCTTGTGCGAGTTAATTCCAAATAGCAAACTGTTTGGTAACTTGAGTTTCATACTGTGATTACACTGGATTGCCTTTTTAACTTTTATGTGTGTGAAATTTTATTTAACTTAAAAAAAACTTTTTATAATGGCATTTTAGTTTAATATCTGCAACTTTAGAATTTAAATCAAATTTTACTTTTATTTTCTATGACAGAAATTTATTAAAAACAAAACAAAATAAAAATATTAATAATATTAAAAAAAAAAACAAATGAAGAATTATGTATCTTACCTGGCCATTTCCCAGCAGAGATATATCTTTCCCTAATAGAAAATAGGATCCAAAGAAGAAAATGAAGGCATGGCTGAAACCCAGGATGGTCCAATAAAAGAATGTCTTAATGCTTAGATGGCGGTTTTTACTAATGTCTCTGTAAAGTGGAAAAAAAGAGGAGAAAAAGGAACACATTAGGACTCATTTATTGTTTATGTACTAAACAACTATCACAATTTGATAATTTAAAAAACAACATGATTTTTAACTGAAAATATTAGCAGGAAGGATAAATCCAAATTTACGAACCACTGCTTATAATAATATTATACATCTGTGTAGTAGTTTACAGTTCACATAATATACTGAGATACATTTTCTCATTTAATAAAGAAGTAGAATAAAGACCTAGTATTTGAATTTGATTATGAAAGCTGGTTTATCGGTTTTATTTTCTTCTGTGAACTTTTGGTCACTCTGTAATCATGGTGTCTTTTTATCGGAGTCACTTGAGTTAGGTGCAGCACCAAGGCTCCATACCGACTTCACCTCCCTCAACACCCAGCGTGGACTGAACAGTCTGTGCCAGTCTTGGGTCAAGCCCAGTCCTAGGTATGCTGGAAAATCAAAGTCAGCTACTGGCATTTCTGGATAACTGGACCTCCTGTAAGAGTGGAAGTCAGGTTAATGTGGGGACCATAAACTGGTCCTGAGGACAGGTCCCACATCACAGAAAATGATTACCTGGTCTGGGGATGCAGGACTAACTCAGGGGATCTGGGACTGGAATTAATATCCTCAACCCTGCATTTTGCACCGATTAACCCCGTGCCATCAAGCTGATTGCTACTCATAGCGACCGACCCTATAGGACAGAGCAGAACTGCCTTGTAGGGCTTCCAAGGCTGTAAATCTTTACAGAAGCAGACTGCCACATCTTTCTCCCAAGGAGTGGCTGGTGGGTTCAAACCACCAACCTTCTGGTTCCCAGCTGAGTGCTTAGCCACTGCACTACAAGGGCTCCTTTTGCACTGATTACTATTCACAAATTAGGCAATACTAGAACATGAACTAATTATGCAGGAACTCTAGAGACTACCAATTATTAAACAACTTCTTTAGCACATACCAAACGAACTACTGGTTTGAAACAGTAAACAGTAAGTGCGAACTACAGAACTGCCCAATGCATTCCTAGGATAAAAGGGTTCATTCTTAAAAACACCGGAAAAACTATGCAAATTTTCACCCTGATGTTCCACAAGGTGACCTACTTTCCTTAGTAAAGTTTTAATCACCAAGACACTAGTGAAAATAAACATATTTGCTTACGTTTAGATACTTTTAAAAATTAATAACTTGAATATATTAGTTGCTATCAGAAATGTCATGGACATTCCATAATACTGGAAAATACTTACCGGTAGAGAGCTGGCTTGCTCTGTAATATATGAGGGTCTATATGCTGTTCCAAAAGACTGTGTATCAGAATAGGTAGGGAGGTGAAACAAATATTGTACAAAGTCAGGTACACGCTGTCATACAGTGTCTAGGAAGAGAAATTGGTAGCCATGCTGAGATTTTAAATTATGTACTACTATTATACTTCTGCATGTCATTACAAAGAAGCATATTAAAAACAGCAAAAATTCAGTTTTTCAATTTATACCAAATCCATTTTAATAATTCCAATCTGTGTTTTTACATAAATGTAAATATAATGTTTCTAGATTTATGTTTGCCATGAGAACTGGAATATTTGGCTATGTAAAATCTTTTGTAATTATAGTAAATTGGATCTGCATTTCAAGATTCTCGACAATTTGGTCTCTGTGATGTAATTTTACGTAACTCTCCTACATGCATCCTAGGCTTCTCACTATTCTTCTTGATATGCTACATACACAGTATTGCTTCTGTGGCTTTGTCTCCCTATCTGAGTCCTACACTTCCTCTGAGGCATGAACAAGACTCTCCTCTTCCTCCGAGGGACTGAGCAAGACTCTGCTCTTCCTCCGAGGCATGAATAAGACTCTGCTCTTCCTCTGGGGGACTGAACAAGACTCTGCTCTGCCACAAACTTTTCCACAATGGCCCAAGTCCCAGACAACAGCTTCCTCCTCTAAATAGTTACCTGTACTACTATTGGTACTAATTGCTTCATAAACTCTTTTTGTTGTTATTAATACTGTCTCCTAAATTACATTGTAATGACCCTGAAAAACCTAATCAAGATAGGTGAGGTCCCCCGTCACATGCTCTTATAGCTTTCTTTACTTCATCCAGATAAGCAAACGCTGTTACTGAAAATCAACCCCCAAGCAGATACCGGGAATTTAGTGTTACAGATTTTAAACAGGAAAAAAACAATGACCAAGGATAAAAACGACTCATGAAAAACCTAAAATAATTAAGCTCTCGTGTTTTTCAACAAATCAGAACCAATGTCTTGATGAATTTGAGATGTACAGTGTGGTACGTGAAAAGAGGGTCCAGTCAGAGCCAATGTGTTCATGTCATGGTTTACTCATTAAGTTAACTTGGCCGAGACCACAGAGCAAAATTAACCTCTGTGGATTTCAATTTTCTTATCTATAAAATAAGACAGTGTGGAGCAGAAATAGCAAATATGTGACACGTGCAACCACAGACCCATCCCGTGCCCATCACAACCACCGCTGATCAATTATAACACTTTCCCTCTTAGCCCACAGCTTCTGAATCCTTGTCAACATAGCGCTGCCGGTGGCCCGATCAACGATTTAGAGCTAGCCTGTGAGATGACACCTATGTCAGAGCTGGACTCAGTCACTAAGGTTCCTTCCAGATCTGAAAAACTCTATGAGTTAAAAAAGTCAGTGCTGAGGCAATCCTCCAGTGGTTATCTGGCCTGGCTTGACCGGGATTCTATAGAAAGAAATACCATAGACAAGTTGAACCAAGTTACCAAAATTCCCTCATAAGCTTCAAATAATTAATATCTATTTTTTAAAAAGCATCCAGAATTAAAATATATTTTAGTATCAACACTTACCTCAACTGAAATCCAGAATAAATAAATAACTATGAATATTACACTGATAAACTAATCAGAAAAGTTTTGTCTCGTTACCTGCAGGACTAAGAAAAATGGAAAAGTCCCTCCAAGCGTCTATCAAAAAGTGAACACACAGACCTCACTCTGAAAGGACAAAACACAAACTTCTAGTTACTAACCTGTTGCGAAAACAAACAGTAGAACTGATATAAAAATTGGGGTGTGATAAAGCACACATTCTGAAAAACAAGATTAAATGGGAAATAATTAAAATATTTAGGTCTAAAAGAGAAATTTCTAAAAAAATAACATCACTATACGGATTTTAAAGCCTCCATGTTTCTTTTTTATAAAGCAATATTCTAAATAAATAAAAATAAAAACCTTTTATGGAAGCCAATGACTATTAAAGAGTCCAGAAACACAATCACATTTGATATGGAAAGTAGGGACTTGTCCACATAAAATGGGAAAGTAGGGTTTCCATTTTATTAACAAATGTCTAAAAGCATTCTAAGCAGCAGTACAAATACCAGGATGAAAATATTCTTGCCTTCTATCATTGCCAAGCAATACATCCTTTTGAAATTAAAGCCTCCCAACTATTACTCAATTCTTTGCACATACAGTACAGTAAAAGTAAGATTTAATTAAACCTTAAGGCTATTAATAGCTTAAAAATGCAAAAATATTTAAAACACAGAATACATGGAACTAACAAAACATCTTCCCATCTTCCCATCCCCATGTTAAAGGAAAAGCTAGAATAATAAAGCTACAAGAAAACTACCACCATCATCTATTAACCACACAGAATCTACTTGTGCTCTGTCACTGGCTTTGCAGCTGTTACTTAACTAGAGGGATGTACTCTGGTGTGTCAACATCTGGTACATAAAGCCAGGGGTTCTTCACATGGGCTCCCAAGACACCCACATTTTCCCAAAGGGTCCAGAGACAGAATAGAATTTGAACATAATTAGTTTCCTTGTGATCTATGTATTTTCTGCACATAAGACACCTCTCTACTGAGAAGGAGTTCGTAGGGGTCACTGGCTGCCAAAGGGTCATGCCCGGCACAGAAAGTTTAAGCATCTCTGCTTGAAGCTGTCGTACTGCAGTTAAGTTAAAGCTTATTACTGGTTCAGGACAAAATGACTTTAAAAGCAATCGACTTTATCGCATTCTAATTTGCACAAAATGAAAGGTATCGATTTTTAGGGTGTATTTTGATGACTGACAAATTTATACACCTGTGTAACCACCATCAGAATCAAATGAGAGAACTCTCCTATCACCCCAAAATATTTCCTTGTGTTCCTTTCCAGTCAGCTCCATCACCTCCATCCTTGGCCCCAAGCAACCACTGATCTGCTTCTGTCAATATAGATCAGATTAAGGCAAAATAATCAAAGTATACTGCATAAACCATTATTGTTTCACTTATAGAAATTATTTTAAATAATTTATACGGTAATAATGTTCCTTAAATTGAAATACCAGATTATTATAACAGTAACTGTTTCTAAAATATCTTCATGAAACTCACCTTATAAAAAAAATACTGTACAAGGGTTGCTATTCTAATATAGTAAAAATGACCGTGAACAAAAAGCAACTTGGAGAGGAATTTAAATCTAGCTATTGCATAGTCGCTGTTTCTTGCAGCTTGTCTTCCTTCTTTACCCATGATTCCTGCAGTAAAAGGAACAAAAAAAGTAAGTGTACTGATAACTGTAATGTGATTTTCATGCTATAGCTGCAAATATTTTAGATAACAGCTGTTGAACCTGGATTTAAGAATACTAAATCCTAATACATAGCACATACCAAAAAACAAAACAAAAAAGCAAAACCAAACTCATTGCCGTTGAGTTGATTCCAACTTATAGTGACCCTATAGAACAGAGTGGACTGCTCTGTAAGGTTTCCAAGGCTGTAAATCTTTATGGGAGCAGACTGCTGCATCTGCCTCCCGCAGAGTGGCTGGTGGATTCGAACTGCCGACCTTTTGGTTAGCACCAAGCGCTTAACCACTGCACCACCAAGGCTTCTATTCAGCATACCCAAATACCAAATCTGTTGCCATTGAGTAGATTCTGACTCATAGCAATCCTACAGGACAGGACAGAACTGCCCCTTAGGGTTTCCAAGGAGCGGCTGGTGGATTTGAACTGCTAACCTTTTTGGTTAGCAGTTGTAGCTCTTAACCACTGTGCCACCACAGCCCCGTACAGCATATAGCAGATGTTAAAATCCATTTTCAAAGAATTAGAATATAATAAAATACAATTAATATAAAATTGATATAAAAAATTCAGGATCTAACAGGTCCATCAACATACTACACTGAGAAGCACTAAGTTGCTGTTAACAGAGACTCCTGATGGACAGAGCGCTATGAAACAGCTGTAACATCACTATTCCAATGAACATAAAAAATATTCAGATTGAGTAATCTGAACCTGACAAAAAAATGGGCAGATTTAACTGTTTTAAAACTTTCACACGTAAGTCAAAGTGTGCTTTTTTAAAGAAAAGTATACAACATCATCTTAAGTCTGTATATAATTTTATCTGAAAAATGAGTACTTTTTAGGTTATAATAAGCCTTTGTGTTTCAAAAGAGTCATTGCAAAGTTTTTTCAACCTGAAAGCAGCTTTCAAAAATTATTTTCTTAAAATTTTTAATTTTTGTCATAAAAGGACCAAAATGTATAAAGAAAATTACCTATAATCCTAATACCTAGAAAAAAACCCACTGTTTTTGGTCTATATCTTTTTAGACTTTTTCTAACTATTTTATGTGTGTGTATTTAATATATACACAGATGTGTGCAAAAAGGGGATTATTTGTTTTGTAACTTGCTTTTGCCACTAAATACATTACGGACACTGTTTATAATATACATCTATATGAACATGTTACATTATTTTCTTAGAAGAAATTCCTGGAAGCATAACTGCTAGGTCAACAGGCACACACTTAAAATTTTGTTATGCATAATAATGCTGGAAATATCAACTAACATTGTATAAAATAATGTGTGAGAGTACTTTAAGAGGCACAAAATGGCATATAAAAATAAACTTATTTTTATTATGAAGATGAACTGGCAAAGCTAAAATTCACTAATGTGGTATTTATTTCCTTTAAAATTTGGAAATACAACATCCTAAATAACGGGTTTAATTATACTAGGCTTCCGACGGGGATAGGTGGCGATACAGTATCAGGTTGCATTTAGTTTTAATTCACATATCTGATATTGCACTTTAATCTGCAAAAGGAAAACTCAAAACCACGTAATACTGACATCAACTTTATAAATTCAGGAAAAAATCAATCACCTATGCCAACATGTGCTTCCTGTATCATGCTTACATCATTAGCACCATCACCAACAGCCAATGTTATAGGTTTCTCAGGTGAGATTTTTATCAGTCTTATTACCTGAAAGACATACAATTAATTAGTTCCTTATGATACAATTTCAATGTTCTTATATAAAGTCTTTTATCTGGAATGACTCTGTAGTAAAAGAATAGTGGAATAATGAAAGGAAAATAATTTAGTATTAGATAATATTTGGCAATGGGGTTCATTTTTTGAGGGACGCCTCTATTAAGATTTTAGAATGTCTTCCAGACATGTCATAACAAAACAGATTATCTCTGGATTTATAATAGGGAGTAAGAATCTTATATACAGTTTAAATTTTTAAAAGGCTTAATAATTTATTTGTGTAAAATAACTGCATTTAATCAAACTTTGTCAGGCAAAAATATCTTTCTCAAGAAATTGTTCTTTTCACTTGATAGAGAGGAAAGACAACTGTTTCTTTTGTAATAAGCAATACTTAAAAGTAATCAACGTTAAATTCAATAAAAGCAAAAGAAAGATTTCTTTGGAATTCCTGAACGCAATTCTGTAAAAGGTAGGGTTTTAGAGTCAGCAGATCTGGGTTCAAAAGATAGTTCTGCTATTTACTGCTTCTATGGCCTTGGCTCAAATATTTAACCTATCTAACTATTTCCCTCACTTGGAGACTGGAGATAATTTTATCTGCCGTAGCAGTTATTTGTTGTTCAAATTAATTGAAATAATGCAAACAAAATGCTTAGCACAGCGCCTAAGCACAGAGCAAGTATTTAACATACTAGTTGCTGTTACCAAAACTATGTGAGACTACTTCCTTCATATTTTCGCTTTCACATTAAGTAAAACACTATTAACTTTTAGAAACTGAACCTTTAGGTTTTAACCATTTACTACAAGAGCATTAAAACGAGAGAAGGGTTTGTGACTGGACGACTCTTGGCTCCGCTGGCCCCTATGCACGAGTGCATGGGAGATGACTGGGTGAGTTCTAAGGAAGCACCCAGTCACCTGTCTTCAGGAGACAGCATCACCTGTGAAAAGCAGAAGGGGAAAAAATACCAGCTGGCCAGGTCACAATGACCTTTATTTCCATTTTTCAGATTTCTTATTTACCGAATACTCTCTCAGGTGTTTGGAGTAACATATTTGGTGCCAACATCTTAACGCAAAGACACAGAGACTAGGGCTGCTTTGCTGGGAGGAGAATACATAGCTTTCTTTTTTTTTTTTTTTAAATAAGATTTTCAAGAAGGTCTAGTGTCTTTAAAAAGGGGGTATGAGTAACTATATATTTTAGAGAGGCCAGAACTTTATCTGAGTTATTTTTAAGTATTGACAAAAGCAATATTAAATCCATATTTCTTGGTTTTGTATGAAGACTGATTCTCATACTTGTTTAAGTAATGGTGTACTAAATGAATCAAATTAAAAATAAACTTTTTTCTTTTGGGTCAATGTGATAAGGTCAAACGATCTGATTTAGAAGCAGAATACCAAGATTCCGTGTCAAGAGTGATCATGTTATGAAAGTGGTTTGAAAATCACCTTGTCATAACATAAATCATACTTTTTTCTTAAAGATCAAAGTCAGCATCTTTAAACACTTTTTCTGCGGCATACATTTATACTTCTACAGGACTAATTCCAAAGCATTTGGATATCTGGATGTATTGCATCTTAAAAAAAATTACTTAGCCATTCTTAGAATAAGATGACAAAGATCTGAAGGTAAGAGCTGTGTTTACATTAAACATATATTACATTTGTGTAGACTCACATATAGGGGAACATAATACTTGATTAAATAAATATGTGATAATAAATAGATTAAAATAGATAGCTCAGTAGAGAAGAAAGCGCATGTGCTTTGGAGTCTAAGACATCTCAACTACCATCTCAGGGCCCCTATCGCCGCGTCACTTTCCTGAGCCTTAGTCTCCTCATCTGCTCTTTTACAAACATTGGTCAAATTCATGGGAATAAAGAACACTGTCAAATATTTTTGAGTAGCGTGACGGTTAAGACTGTGTGTCAACTTGGCTGGGCCATGATTCTCAGTGTTTTAATGTGATCACTCCTATGACTGAATATACTGTGAGGAGTCAATCAGATGAAAGGGAGTGTCCTTGGGGATGTGGCCTGCATCTGAACATAAGCAGACGTTCTGGCTTTTTGCTTTCTCTGGATCCTGCAGCTGCCTCCTGTCGTCTCATCTCTGGTTCTTGGGACTTGAGCTGCCAGCTTATCTGCTGAACTTGGGATTCGTCGATCTTCACAGCCTGTGAGCAGAGCCCTGCTCTCTGACCTGCCAATCTTCGGTTCACCAGCCCCTGCAGCTACATGAATCAGGAGAAACCTGTGGTCTTGCCTGCCAATCTTGGAATTCTTCGACCTTCACAGCCTGTGAGAGGGAGCCCTGCTCTCCGGCCTGCTGATCTTGGGCTCACCAGCTTCTGTGGCTGCGTGAATTGGGAGAGGCCTCTACCCTGATCCACTCACTTGGGATGTTCTAGCCTCTACAATTGCATGAGCTGGTTCCTTGATATAAATCTCTCTCTCTACATATATATATTTATACGCTTTACTGGTTTTGCTTCTCTAGAGAACCCAGCCTAAGACAAGCAGTTTGGGAACTCTTGATTTCACTGGCATATCTATCTATAGATGACTTTATATAGAAGAGAATCTCAGTTCTTAGAAGAGAATAAAAGTGTATTGATCATGATGAAATCAGAGGTTGGAAAGGCACCTTTTCAGTTCCTCTCTCAAAATCGTTTTATGTAATACTTTTCTAGAGTTGAAGGGAAGTGAAATACAAAACTTGATATAAATATGTAATGTGTGATCACTAGCCACAATATCTTTTGCCTTCCATTTACACCTTTATGGTACACAGAAAAGGAACCTCATGACTCACAATCAACCAGCTGGTTTCTACTTCGTTATTTTAATGTTGTGCTGGGTCAGAGAAGCAAACCATTAAAAATCTACTGTAACAGCCCCGGTGTGGTTACAGCTCACTGCAAAGCAATTTTTGTGTAACTGGATGAAAAAAATATTGCAAATCTGCAGGCCTCATCTATTTCTATGGCTAGTTTATTTATTTAGATTATATTCTCCAGCTGCTTTTTCTACAAAGTTAAATGACCAACATATTGCCCTACTAGCTAACATATCATTAGAACAAAAAGTTCTTTACATGAAGCTATTTTCTTGTTTTGGTGGAGAGTCCATAATAGCAGAATTTTTTAACTTAGGCTAACAAACTGTTTACAATAAATATTTCCTTGCTCTTGTCCATAAAAAAAAAAAACAAACAACCAAGTTCATTCACTGTATAGTAGGAAATAAGAAAACTCAATATTTGAGTTTTTAATTCTAATAAGTGATTTAGATTTTAACAAAATACAAATAAATATAACACCTGCATACACACACAAAAAATACAGCCTAAAACAGACTAGTGTGAGTGTCTGTGGGGAGAGAAGAAGGGAGGAGGTACTCAGGTACATGCGTAACATCTCTTTCAGTGAGTTAAATGGAACACATTTGTTCATGCTCTTAACCTAAGCATTAGAAACGTTTGCTCTCAGGTTTTAGTCTCCATAGGATGAGGCACATAAATTATAATAATACAGGCATAACATTCCATGAAGCCAAAAAAAAAAAAGTCTGATTTATTAAATCTACATGTTTAGATGTGTCTTTGAAGGGATTTTTGTGAAGGATACAGCCTAAGACCTCAAATTCCAAATCTGTAGTTACAAAGAATGTTTTAAACTTTCATTTAAATCCTCATTGAAATTTAAGCATTTCCTATTTATAAGCATTTCGAAGTTAACTGGCTTCTAAACAATTTACTAAAGTTCTGTTTATCACCTGATAGCCATTTTACAAGGAGACAGAACAATCAATTCATGAGGATGCAGGAATAAGCAGAGATCAACAGTCAGCTGAAGGCACAGATGAATGAAGTCTCCCATGCTCCCTTGTGAGCTAAGTAACTAACTTTTGTAACCAGAGTAGTGCAGTTCAAAACTGTGTCTCAGTAAAATCACAAACTGCTACCCATCACAGACTTTCGAGGTCATTATGAATAGCTGAAACAGTGCTCACTCTGAAAATTCCAGAGTTCTTACGTACGTGGTTAAAATTCATAAAGCGCTAGATTCACATACTGCACACCACCAGACAGCACTAGATAAGGCATTATCTTCAAGGAATAATTTTAGATCTACGCATCTTTCTGGAACCCACTGTAACTCATACATACTTTTGCCTTCTGCAGCGGTGCCATACGACAGCACAGTACAGCTGAGCAATTTCTGCAAACGTCCATAAATAGTTTCTCATGCTCCCTGAGTGCAAGAGACAGGCTGGTCCCATCCACGACCAGCCCGTGCTGAATCACATGATCCTCTGTAATTCTAGAAGAGAAAATAATTACATCCTCCGTAAGAGACTCTGAAGGTGCGCCATTAGCACTCCCATAGTAACAAAGGATTCTTAGTGAAAGACGGACCTACAGACTTTACTACTACAGTACACGTCGGGGAACAAACTCAGTCCTAGCATCTGGAAGTTAAGATTAAGCAGAACTGAGAGTCAATGATACACAATCAGTAAAACAGATGATATTCCACTTTGCAATGAATTGATATATAGATACAGTAACTCTATTTTCTAAACTGAATTGTAACAAATAATCTGATAAAGGATATTCTTCTAAATTGTAAGAGAAGTCTTATAAAAATAGAAATAATATTAGTTACACATTTAGTAGATCCCCCTGATTAAAAACATTAAACGCAATCAAGAATGTTGAGGAAAATCCATGTGTGAAATTCACCATACGCCTAAGTGGGAAGGCAAGAAAGGAAACAATCGGTGCCGTCTCCTAATACCAGCGCCACAATGAACGGTAGTGCTGGACAGACAGACAATACCAGACATAGTGGAACACCGACGACAACTCCCTTGTGAGCACACGCCACCCAGGTGCTATCACACTGTGGTCTGACTATTGGTGGCTGGGCACACCGTTTGGTGCCAGAAAGAGATAAGGAGTTTGCATCAGTGTTTAAATCAAACACATCACTGGGCACATTACACACTACTTGGCCTGCCCGCTCCCTGTGAGACTTTCTCGAGGAAGTACTGCATAGATTTACATTCTGGGGCAAGTCCTTGTATGCAGGCCAGCCCTCAGGGCAGCATGGTACTACAGATATCACCAGGAAAATACTACAGTTCACCACCGAGTTCACACTACAGCAGGATCTGCTCCTGAAGAACCTCTCCATTTTTAAATAAGATGTGATAAGTCTATCACATGAGCAACACATTATAAGAACTGAACAGGTATTAACAGACGTGCAGGGCACCAAGCAGCAGCTGGAGATGACGAGAGTGCTTCCTCAGGTCTCTGCTGCAGCTGCTCAAGGCCGCAACGTGAAAGCAGGCAGAGGTACCACGTACACAAGCGAACGTGGCTGTGTTCCATTCAAACTTTACCTACAGACACTGAAATCTGAAGTTCATGTAATTTTCACATGTCATAAAATACTACTTTTCTTTGGATTCTTTTTCAACTACTGAAAATGTAAAAACCACTTTCAGCTCACAGGCCGTACCAAGCAGCGGGCCAGATGTGGGCCGCGGGCCATGGTGTGCTGAGCCCTGAGCCGCGGGATCCAGCTGTCTGCGTTCTTACCTTCTGGTCAGCTGCCTCAGTCGGTCAGCACACTCACTGTCCGTTTTCTGGTTTATAAGCTCAAGGATGTTCATGGTTCTGTGGAAATGTCCGCACGATAAACTGACACTGACGGCTGTTTCGTGTTTATCTCCAGTGAGGACCCACACTTTGATGCCAGCCATTCTCAAGGCTTCAATTGTCTCCCGAACTTTATCTTGTAGCCTGAAAACAGAAGAAACAAGGTTCGGAATAGAGTACTTTTTGGACTGCATTTTCAGAGTAGGTCACATAGCCTAAATAAGTTAAATTCTGAACTCCTGACTTAAGAAAGCTATAGTATAACAATATAACTGAAATTTTCTCCCGTTAGGGAAGAAGCAAGAACAACCAGATTAGTGATGACCTGGTTAACATAAAATCAATCGATTAAAATGTATAACTTCGTATTTTAATAGTGTATCCTCAAAGTTGATTTTTATAGGACCAAAATAACTATGTGGTCTTTTATAAAGTCTTAAACTTCAAATTAGAAAGAAATTTTTCTCTTCCTTGATAAGAAAATCTCTCGTATCACTAATTCAGATATCAAACTGTGGAGACAAAGGACGACCTAACCTCTGATAAGTATCAGAAGTCTCAAAGACAAATGAAAAAGTGAATGAAAAGCCAGATTAAAGAAAAAGTGAATGAAAATCCAGATCAAAGGAAAAGTGCAAACACCCTTACAGATCGGAGGAAAATTAACTACAGGCATCATCTGTAGAATCCTATTTAATTTACGGAATTCAGTTTAGTTCAAGAAACTGTGAACCAGCCATCGAGAAAGACGCCGGGGAAGGAAGACGAAGAATTGAGGGACTGGAGGAATTCACAGGCTGACAGCGCAGATAGTGGTTGAGTAATTGTCCCACAGCGCCCCAAGGGCAACAGCCGAAACACCTACAAAACACAGACTTCAGAAAGGACAGAATTTTTAATCCTGTTAGGGGTGAGGAAAGGTTGTACTAGCCTTGAGGTTAATACCTGAGCTATACTTTATGAACAGGTCTTCACAGATGGAGGAAGGGAAGAAGAATTCAGGCAGAAGACACGGCTTTCCCAAGGAAAGAAGGAACAAAGTAGGATGGTTTTAATTTCTCGTTGGCATTCAGAGGGGACTACAGTTTGGTATTGTCAAAGCATAAAGTGGAAGGGGCGGTGGTGGGAGGTGAAGCTAGAAAATGAAGCAGAAACTGTATCGTTAAGGTCTTGTACGGCACACTAAGGAATATTCTAAAAACTTAAGCCTGTAGGCAAACTACAGAAAGGTGGTTTCCTTGTATCCACTTCAGATATCTGGCTAGAACAAAATCTGTGTATACTGAATGGGAATAATTAAGGTGTTAGCTTTGTATTTTGGATTTAAATACACTGTTATTATAGGATGCTAATAAGTCGAATTTATACCATATATTAGAAGCATTTGGCTAGAAAAATATTTACAAGAGAAAAATGGCACTGCCTACTTATCTGATACTTACCTGTCTTCCACCGCTGTAGCTCCAAGTAGTATCAGATCTTTCTCTATGAACTGGAAGACATCTGCCAACTTCTCTTCCCGCTGCTGCAAGGCAGTCCTGGCTTCAAATAGGCGTCTGTCTATTATCTCATATTCTTTAGGTGTAAACTGTCTATACGCTATGCATAGAGTTCTTAGCCCTTTCTAAAACAAAAAAATTAAAGATAAAAATGGGATAACTAACGGGAAATCAAGACGTCATTGAAATAAATGACCCCAGTACCAAAAATCAATTACAAATTATTTACGTACTGTCATCTAGTGACAGTAACTAATAACAAATAATACTCCATAGTATCAGCACATCCGATTCTTTGTTCACCTCACACACATCACGTAGACTGCTTCACAGGACTCTAGCAGAAAGCAGCATGACAGAATGGACGGCTGTGGTTCAAATCCTGGCTTTGCACTGGTAGTGAAATTCTGAGGCAGGTACTTGGTTTCTCTGAACTTCAGTTTCCTCACATACATGACAGAAATACTACTATCCATCTCACACCGCAATAATGGGAAGTGAATGAGCTATAACTCTGTCTGCAATGGGCCTGCCCAGGCGTTCAATACATGTGTTCGTCTCTTTTCCTCATCCTTAACCTCTCTGCACATAAAGCTATCTTATAGAACCGAATTAGAATTTGTTTTGGTTACATATCTGCTTCTCTACTGTGAGCCAGTATAGATCTGGGACTGTATCTGATTCATTTTTTATACAGTACGTATTCAAATACATCTTCATTCAGTAAGCTACATGTATTTTCAAAAATAGGTGTATATTCAGAAGTATCTCAATGCTCCTCTGATAACTTGTAATTTCTCATTTAATATATCACATTTCTAAAACAAACACTTTCACATTCCAACATCTCTGAAAGTGAGACGTGTATTATTCAATGGTATGTAACAGTACTGAGAAACAGTATATCATCATTCTGTCAAAAATAATGGCACAGATGATATTCCAGGGCCAAATACTGATCCTGATAATTTATTATCTTCTTTTCAGAAATAAAAAAATAATTTCAAATGCCACCCTGCCCCCAAAAAGCTCTACTGTACATGACTCGCCTAAGGTTCAGACTGGTGGTGAAACGTGCCGTCGAGTTGGCAAATGTGAAATAACGGATTCAGATCAGGCATTTTAAACTGTCACAATGATTTCAGTAACCACTTACGGGACATATTGTCATAGCTCTTCTATATCCTGATGCGTTCTTAAAAGGTTGCTCAAAATAGTTATGGTCATTGAAATGCAGAATGTCAGAGCCTAGAAAGGATCCTACAGACTTCGTCATCTGTGGTTTTAAAACTGCTAGAAAGAAAGTCAGGGACTTCTAGAACGGTGCCTCCAGGACTGTCAGGAGAAAGGCAGCCCCAGGTTCTATTCTCCCGTTTTGACCGTTATAAAATCATTTTTATCTGTCTTCCACGTTTTGTTTTTTTAAGCAAACGGGACCAAAATTTTCCGAGGGTTTACTGTCTGACAAAGTTAGCCATTCTTAAAACAAAGAACTCCATAAAATGACCATTATCGAACAAACAATACTTTCTAGATCCACTGAATGAACAATTTTAAAAATTACATCATTATATTCACTGGTGAACTGGAATGACACAAAACTTAGGAATATATATTTCATTATCTGATTTTACTTGGCTCGAGTTTTTCTTACAGCATTAATCTCTGAAAGTGGGTACCTAACAGTAGAGAAAGGCTTATAAAAGCGGATTTTCTTCTTATGCATTTTCCTCAGAAAAAACTCCTAGCCAACGTCCTACTGTTGGAACTTGGAAAGGGTAACTTTTAAAATACTGTATGACACTATGCAGCAGATTTAAAAAATATTTACATTCCCTTATTTACAAATGACCCACACCTATAAATAACTGTGTCCCTTAAATAACAGTTAACGGGCCATCAGTTATTCGAATATGAAATCATTCATTCATTCTACAACAAATCTTTACTGAGTGCCAACTATCTTCCAGCACTGTTCTGGATATTAAAATGGCAGTAAAATCCATGTTCTCATGGGTGATACAGTGTGTGGAAGAACCAGATCATAAACAACTAGGAAGCAAACAATGGAAGAAGAGGGGGCAGGTGGGCAGAGGGTATGGAGCAGAAATTTACAGACATGCAGAAATGAGAGATCCTGGGGCTCTGAGACTGAGAGAGAGAGCCGATTAATAACCTTCCTGTTCACATGAATTACCACACTTTATTTTTGTAAGATTCCTCTGTATTTTTATAAGAGAGATACAATTCATATACTGTAAAATCCACTGTTTTCAAAAATACGATTCAGTGGTTTTTAGTGAATTAAAAAGAATTGTGTGACCACCACCACTATCTAATTCCAGAACATCTTCATCACCCCAAAAGGAATCCCCATACCCATGAGCAGTCACTCCACATTTCCCCTTCCTTGGCACCGACCAATCTGCTTTCTGTCTCTATAGATTTGCCTACTCTGGATATTTCATATAAACATGGTATCTGGCTCCTCTCACTCAGGATAATGTTTTTAAGGCTCATCCATGTTGTACTAGCTTATCAGTATTTCTTTCCTTTGGCTGGGTAATATTCCATTATATGGATATATCACATTTTATTTATCCATTATATCAGCTGACGGACGTTTGAATCATTTCCATTTTTTTTTGGCTATTAGGAATACTGTTGCTATGAACATTTCTGTGTAAGTTTTTGTGCTTAAGAGTCTGTTTTAATTTCTTCTTGGTCTATACCTTAGAATGGAATTGCTGGGTCATATGGTAACTCTATGTTTAACTTTTTCAGGAACTGTCAAACTGTTTTCCAAAGTTGCTGCACTTTTTTATAATCCTACTAGCAATGTGCGAGGGTTCCGGTTTCTCCACATCCTTGTGATTCCCCTATATTTTTTAAATAAGCTCCCTTTTTTTAATAGCGTAATTTGAATGGTTCTTGTAACCAAAAGTGGCCTGAATGTAATAGGTTCAAAGAGAGAACTAATATTTTAACAGGTTAAAAGTCAATTTTTACACAAAAATGTGGAACCAACATATAATGTAACAAAACTGCAGAACTTCTATAATTTTTAATAAAATGTTAATGCAAAAATAAAACTCAAGCTCTACCATAAGTACATCTTTACAGTTTCTCAACATCATAGCAATTCGCACTCACCAAAGCAAATCCATCTACATGAATTCTGGTTTTTTCTATTTCTCCATCTATACATTTAGGGAGAATTGATGATTCAGCTCCTTTCGCAAATAAAAGCTTCTCACCTAGAAAGAAAAATTAGTTAGCAAGCTGTTACTATCAAACCAGTAAAAATTCACGAAAGTTTCAGGTTGGTTACCTGACGGTGCCTGAACAATCACACTCATTCTCCTACGATCTGAATCAAATTCCAGAATATGAAGCAGCCTGTACCTAAGGGAAAGAAAGACAAAAACTTGACTATTTTTGAATAATATTAAAGAGTATCTGGAAAGAATTCCTATAAAAGATAAAATGGCTAACTTAGAACAAGAAATTAACCTCAACTACATTTTCAAGATGATGGATTATGAGTCATTAGTAACAACACTGGACAGAAACAGAACTGACATTTATCGAGTACTTACCAAATGTCATGAACTTTACGTTCCTTATGTCATTTAATACCCATGAGAACCCAAGGAGACAGGTCTTATGCCATTTTAGAAATGAAAACAATTAAGCTCAGAAACATTAAGTAATCTGCCTCAAGTCAAATCTGCTTGTGAGTGGCAGGGCAAGGACTGGAATCCTGATAGGCCCAGCTCCATGTTTCTCCTCATTAAAAAAGGTGATTGATTCTCAACCTTTTTTTCTGTCCTAACACACCTAACAAACACAACATACTTCCATTAGTGACAGGCTCATTGCAGCAGTGATTCTGAACCTGGGCTGGGCAGTGTGTGGGTGTGCGCGGGTAGGGGAGCAAGTGCCTCTCTAGTGAGACGGGCCAGCTGTGGCTTGCAAAAGTCTTCCAGGTGAATCTTGGACAACTCTGTACATATCGAATGCTTTGTAAATCTCAAAAGAAAAACACCTAAATATTTCACATTTCATGATGCTTCATTACCAGCTTGAATAAAAACCTCTAAAGATCTGAAATGGTTTATGTATAAGCTGACGAAGTGAGCTAAGGAGGCTCCCACGTGAAAGCAGCCCAAGAATGGACCCTATTGAGTGAGGGAAAGCAGAATTTGGAAAAGGAAAGCTGGAGTTGAGAAATGACCAAAATTGATAAAACCATGACAGGTGTGAGTATAATAAGCATGGACTAATTTATCAAAGAGGGGAAATATCAGAAATACAGAGTTGTTCCTTAATGTCTGAAAGACAAAATCACAGGAAGGTTTTCTTTATTCAGTGAATAGACTCAGGAAAGCCATCATTCCAGGAGGGTGTACAGATGAACACGAGTTAGCTCAGGAGGCAGGAAGCTAACCTACAGATGAAAGACTCAGAGCAGAACGTCATTACTGGGATGAGACACCATGTCAGATGACTTCATTCAGAAGCAGGGTCAGGAGACTTTTTCTGTCAAGGGCCAGAGAGTTGAGGCTTTGCAGGACACACACTGTCTCTGTTGCACACTCTTCTGGGGGGGCTTGGGGGTACAACCCTGTAATGTAGCTCCTGGGCTGTACAAAAACAAGCCATGGTCCAGATTTTATTTGCAGGCCACAGTTTACTGAACCCTGTTCTATACTATGTTCTTAATATATAGAAAACTACAATATATGGGGAAAAATTACCGTTCCAGTTTTCCAAGTGTTTTAACTTCCATAGTTTCTTCAGAACTGCCAATAAATACAACGCCAATTCTAGGGATTAAAAGGAGAAAGAAACGTAATATTTAAGGGACAATATTCCATATTTCATGATGCTTCATTATTAACTTCGCTTGGATAAAAAACATCTAAAATGAAAGTTTAAAGTGTATTTTAAAATATTTCCTTTGAATATACAATTACTTCTAACAACTTGAAGGATCAGAGTACGCACAGAACAACTATTCATGTTTGTTAATGAAAAATCTCAAAGACTGCTGCATAGAGTTATTTCTCACAAAATTATATTACTTAGATTTCATGGTAACCAGATCTTTAGAGATCTCTTCCAAGTATGACTCAATGAAAGCTTGAGCACAAAAATAATAACACACTTCAATTTCTCATTTAGAATTTAAAATACACTTCTACCTTTATGTGTTTATGAATTAGACAATTTAAAATGATGAATTTGTGTCTGACGATTTAAAATGATGATTCTTTACTATTTCAACGCTCCATTTTAAAAAAGGGTTTTTCAGAAGATTTGGGAAACGAGACTACGCTACCTCGCAGCAGCCTCCACCAGGGCTTTCTCATCTGGAGACGATGCATAGTACTCCAGGTGGGAGGGCGTGAGGCTGGACTGCCAGGGACCATCCCCAATGCCATTGGTCGGAACGTTGCTAATCTGCACCGTGTGACAGAGACTGACTGCTTTAAAGAAGAGATCGTGTTCTTTAATCTGTAGAAACATAATTAACGCGCATGATAAAAATACCATTCCCAAATACCATTTAGGAAACCAGAAACAGAATTACAAAAAAATGCCAATAAATACAATAAATAATTTTGTCACGTAAGTTCTGGAACAAAAGTGCTACAACCTGGAACTGCTTGAGTAATAGCTGGTTGGCTTGGACTCTAAAAAGTAAACTGTCATATTTGCTTATGGCCCTTCCACATAAGAGCTGCTCTCTCAGGAGGCACAGCCAAACTTTAAGTAAGGAACACTCTTCTGTGGGACAAGTAAGGGCTCAAAAATATTAAAAATATTTAAGCTCTTTTTCTAGCAACGTCTTCTTCACTTCAAGACAGTATCATTTAAATACCCAGAAAACTAAGGCAGACACATAGCAAAGGACAAGTTAAACTGGGCTGTGACTATAGATTCTCAGGAGTATACTTTGCAGCGCTGAATCACAGGCTACACATTTCAAATATATATTTTCTGCCCCACTGACACTTAAACTTTTTTTTTCCTATGACCCACCAACTACCCAAGACAATTATATAAAAAGAAAGATGTTAGTGAAATGTAACCCCTATTCATTAATTTAAAAATTGCTTACTAGTTCCATTTCATATTCAGGACTGGTTCTAAAAGAAGCACTGGTTGTAAGATGTGATAAGTTGTTAGGATGGGACAAGCTGCTAAGGTAAGATAAACTTCCTTCTGAAAAGTCTGGTGTTGGTCCTTCGGGCAGAAGTCTACCGTTGATTTCTTGGTATTTTATGCCATTGATTGAACATTCCCGAAACTGCATCTCATTTTCTGTCAGCGTACCAGTTTTATCTGTAAACACATACTCCACCTAGAGGGGCAGAAAACAAAACAAGCCTTTGTGTTCATGGTGCTACGTGAAACAGCAACAAAACCCTTGTCCTGTCTCTTGAACTCAGTTTTACCTACTAACGCTGATATACTGATGCTGGGATTCTTACACTCCAAGCACAGCTGAATAATAAACAGGACAAACACAACAGAGTCACACAGAATAGTTTAAATCTGCGTACACTCTGAAGTTTGTGGCATCTTCAGGGGCATGTTCACCCCTAGAGTTTACTGAGAATGTGGTATTAGTACTTCTTTTCTATCTCCTGGATAAAGCTTTTTAAAGTAGTATTCCTCAAGAATTAGCTTTGAAGCCAGGGTGGAAGGGATGGTTAATAACAGAGTATGAAAGGGAATCTGGGTCAGCAGAAATGATACAGAGCTGAGAACAGGAAAACAGAATGATGGAAGAACTCCGAGGCGGGAAGCTGTCTCAAATGGACAGATGGAGGAGACTGAAATTGAGGGCAAGAAACAAAACTATGGAAGAGAAAGATGTTGAAAGGAAAGAAAGGATTTTTTAAAGTGGAAAAGACAAATACCTCCCAAACAGCTGGGCTACCAGCCCGTCACCTTAAGGGGGGGTCCACTCAGAACCAACTTGATAGCAAGGGTTTTTTTTTTTTTTTTTAATAAGCATTTTAATGTGCCACTTTTAAACTTGGAAGGATAGTCAGGGATTAGTGTTCATCTGAGGATGACTTCTTACGCGAAGGGCATGGTCTAAACAATCGACAGGCAGTTCTGCTATAACACTGCCTTCCAAACACGAATTGACCCCAACGCGACTGACATATAAGGAAGAAATCTGGGGATAATGTGAACTTTAGCTTTGCTCATGCACAATTCTGTCTCCGAGAAACACCAGGTGATGGGAGGAATACCTGAAAGACACAAACCTCACACAGCTGCCAACGACCTCAGTTCACCGTGTGTGCTGAGCCACACCTGTCCACCTCTGGTGTTACAGCCCTCCTTCTGATTTCAGGTAACCCTCCTTCCACTACTCGACAAGACCACCCACGCTGCAACCCTTCCGACACCCACCTCCACAAGCACACTCAGGCCTTCTTCAAGATAAAGTGCCGTATTTACCTCAGTATTTATGTACTTCTTCACCATTTAGGAAGCGCCGTTGTTATTGGGTTCCTATTTTTCAAAAGTGTTACTGACAATATTTTCGTGTTGTGTCCTGGACCCTATTTCCCCTGTAAGCGCTGCGGTTTTCTTGAGCGATTCACACAGTGCGATGATTTTTGTTTTTCCTTTTTTTTTTTTTTTTAAATTGTGATTCAGGTGAAAGTTTACGGAGCAAATTAGTCATTCAAAACTGTATACACAAATTGTCTAGTTTTCCTGTCCCCTCTGGCCTTCTCGTCTTTGCTCGGGGGCAATGCAGTGGTTTTTAGGAATGCAGACGCTGCGGTAGAGCAGAACTGACTATGGTAAGAAAGGAGCTAGAAGCAGACAGAAAGCGCAGGAGCAAAAGAAGACTTTGTCATCAGTATTCTCAGAGAGGTTAGAGAACAGACGACATTTAAGAAACAGGAATAAGATGCATAGAAATATTTCAGTAGAAAAAAAAAATAAGTGAAAAGCTAAAATTGAGCAATTCTCCCAGGAAGAAGAACATAACAAATAAATGAATATTGAAAGTCACAGTAAGAAAATTGGAGGATCGATACAGGTGGTTTGATATCCAAATAGTAAAAGTTTCAGAAAAAGAAAACACAGTCAGACATACTACCAAAGAAATAACAAGCAAATTTCCTCTACTTGAGGGACACGTACTTTCAGACTGTGAAAGGGCTTACTGAGTGTACTGCCTGATGAAAGAAAAAAAGAACTCACACGAACGTATCCCATCGTGAAATCTCAGAACTCTTGCAGACAGAGAAGATCCCCCAGGCTTCCAGAGACAAAAACAACAGATCAAACGTAAAGAACTGAAAACCAGAATGGCACTGGATTTCTCAAAAGCAACACTGGAGGCCAGAAAACAAAGGAGCAACACCGTCAAGATTCTGAGGAAAAACTGTCTCCAACGTGGAATGCCACACCCAGTTACACCATCAATCAGATGTGAAAAGGATAAACATGTCCTCAGACAGCAAAGTCTCAAAATATTCTCCTCTTATGCATCCTTTTTTGAGAAGCTATTAGAAGATGTGCTCCAGCAAAACAAGAGAATAAGCCACAGGTGGGAAGACATGGGGTCCAGGGAACAGGAAATACCAAACAGGAAAGGGGCAAAGGAATTTCCCATGTGACGGGACAGGGAGGTCCAAAGTAACAGTTGAGAAGCAGGCTCAGAAACAAGAAGTCCAAACTGGATACAAAAGATAAAAGGCTACAAAGAGGTGTCACGTACAGAAAGAATGGAAGGGAGGGAGGGAGGAAAGAAGACAGAAAGAAAATCCTAGATTACCTGATGTGTTTGAATACATGCAGAGAAGTTTCATCTATTTGTCAGTTTGTTTTATGGTATCTGGAAATTAAGTAAACTGGAAAACCAGAGCAACTAACTCTAGGGAAAGCGCAACATACAGAAATGAAATGTAATTACAGTGTTACAGGGCATTAAAAAACTGAATTAGTGAACAACGTCGGCACAGGCATAATAATGTCAAAGGAATAGTTATTAAATCCCAAAGGGTGAAATGACAATCTTGGGGGGATACGGAGAGGCAAAGTGTGTGTGTGGCGGGACGGGGCACAGTCTGAGAGCTGTATCTTTATATTCCCTAGTAGATAATGTCTGAAATTGAAAAACCAAGGAACAACACTATCTAGAAACAGAGTGTTAAGTAGGAAGAGAGACGGCTTAAGATTT